GGGCTCCGCGCGGCTCCGTTGCCGCTCTCGCCTGGCGCGGAGGCCGTGCGGGATGGCCGGCGAGCCTCTGTGATGTTCCTAAAAGCTAGTACTAAAAGCTAATTAAAATCCTTTCCCGGTGATAAAGGGCGACTCGGGAGGAGCGCTGCCGCGACTGTTTTCCCTAAGAATTTAATTTACAGCCAATTTTTCCCTATCTGAATGTTGCTTTGGAAAGCGCCCGGTGATAAGGAGCAACATCTGTTTTGTGTTCAGCTGTGCAAGGAGGCTCCGCGTGGGGCTGAGCGCGCGCAGCCCATGAGCAGCCATTGTGCTTCCCATTCCGCTCCTGTCCGCCGTGCCGCGGTGCCCGTCTGAGCGCCCCGCTCTGCCTCGTGTCTCCCGCAGCCCTCCTGGAACCGCGACCACGACGACACGGCGTCGACGCGCTCGGGCGGCACGCCGGGCCCCTCCAGCGGCGGACACACGTCGCACAGCGGCGACAACAGCAGCGAGCAAGGTAGGAGCCTCGCGCCTCCCCGCGCTCCTTCCCGCGCGCCCTCCCTCCGCTCCCCCTCTTCGCGCTTGGGTTTCCCCCCGGCTCCCGCTAGGAAAACAACTGGCATCTTTCCTGCCTCGGCCCTGCCAGCAGGCACATGCTAGAGCAACATGTGCACCAAATTTGCAGCATGCTGCAGAAAAATGCAGCACCCAGAAGGGGTCCTGCCCCCTCCCAGCCACCCTCGCCCGAACGGGCTGTAAGACGAGATCTTCCAGAGCGGGTGTGATTGGGGTGCGAACGGCACGCGGGGCTCCGAGGGGACGCTCTGGGCGCAGGACGCGGCAGGAGTTACCCGGCTGCTGCCCACAAAGCCCTGCATCACTTTCATTGAGTCCTCTTCCCCCTCAATTCCGGTTCGTTTGGATGCAGCGCCAGGGCAAACACGGTACCTGCTGTAGCGGGACGAGGATGGAGCGAGCTCGGTGCTGCGGGGCACCAGCACCCTCCTAGACACCCCAGCGTTTAAAACCCCAAATCCCGAGGGTTTTTTTTGTTTGTTTTTGAGAAGCTGCTTAAACGCTTCCTACTTTTCTCTGAAGAAACCAACTGCAGTGGATTTAGTGTTAATTCCGTGCAATTAAAATTTTAAAAGGGGTCCTTCATCTGAATATAAAAGCAAGCGCTGCATTGAAGTTGCCTCTGAACTCGCGATAGGTATATACTTTTAAATCTGTTTTATGATCATGTTTCGTTCGAGTGCTGTTAGACAACAAAGGAATTGTGTTTCCAAAATAAAAGGGCCGAACAGTCCTGATTAGCATTGCAAAGTCTACATTTAACGAGATTAGTTTTTAAACTAAACCAGTATATTTTAATTTTTTATCCACGCGGACGTAGTGTACGTGGTGAATAACATCCCTTTATAGAATTTTAAGTATTTGAGACGCTTCATTGTTTAGAGAAAAGTTGCTGACTTCATCACAAGTGAAGCCTAGTAAAAATGGGGCCTGGAATAGTAAACTGTTGCAGAGCTGAGGCAGAAACTGGTAACCTTCTGACCTCTGACTTTTACTGGAAAATGATATGCAACATAAATTGAAGGGGCCTTTTTTCTTTCAAGTGTGTATACATGTATGTTGCAGCGCTGCCGTTCACAATGCCGTCGTTAACGTGGTGTCAACATGTTCATTAGAGCCCCTTCCTTTCGGAGCAGGCTTCAAATCCCCGCTGTTCCTCGGGCGCGAAGGCGGCTGCAGCGACGCGCCGGGAGCCAACGCGGGTGTCGGGGGGAGTTTTGTGCAGCCTTGGCTGGAAGGACGCGCGTGTGTTCGTGCATGTCTGCAGGGGTGCGAGCACCAGGCATCTGCGGGAGAGTCTCCGAGTGCTCCCTGCCCCCGAGGGCACTCGGCGCTTCCTGGTTCCTGGCCCCATTTTGGGGCTTTTTGAGGGGTTTCGGGGAGGAGTGAACGAGGGGGGATCCGCAGCCGGGGATGCCGAGATGCCCCTTCTTCCGCACGCACCGTCCGCGCTCGCCGGGACTCGTGTCCCGCCGGCAGGGATGCCCTTTCTGTGGAGGAAGAGGGAGGCGGGAAGGGCGGCCCTGGCAGAGCCCTGCTCGTGGTGCCGGCTCCGCGCTCGCCGAATTCGGAGCCTCGGGCCCAATCCCATTCGCTGGAGCACACCCGCGCCTCTCCACGCACCATATATAGTTAAAGCGCAGTTTTCGCCTTCCTGAGCAGGGAGAAAAAGTCATAAACACGATCCTGACACACCAAGAGGAACAGGGGGAGGGTGAGGAGAGACAGCAAATGCCCTGCGCCTCCCTGACTGCATTTGCTAAGCGTCACGATTGGCAAGCTAGACCTAAACCTATTTTTTTTTGGTGAGGCCCTGTGCAAGGGCTGGCAGCCCCGTGCTGACCCCCATGCCCGTCCTCATGGGCGCAGGGTTTAGCTCAGGACGCGCAGCTCGCGTGACATATTTTCAGTGCATTATGGGCTTCCCTATTTTTAGGATTTTTAAAAACTTCTTTTTGGATCCATCTGTCGAGAATGCATTTGCCATTGAGAAAGAAAAAAAAAAGGAAAAAAGAAAGAAAAAAAGAAAACCCAAGCCCATCACCACAAGTATAACACTTTTACAAAGTCTATTTTGGGGTTGTTCCCATGACCCGGTTCCCGTCCTCTGACAGGTGAAATCGCCTGTTTGCAGCGGCTCCGAGGGAGCCCGAGGGGCAGCAGGGGCT